GCATTTATTAATGGTAAATTTAAATTCCACATAAACACATATTCTTCCCCTCTAAGTATTAGTTGGGTCAAACTTCATTATTTCAAAAGGAGATTTGGAAAACAAACAAAAAAAACAAACAAAATTTGCAATTGAAGAGTAGGCAATGATGGAATAAGCTGTAAAGAAATGAAATAAATTAAGTATTGACGGAACCCTTATTAAGACTTGGGGTTTTATCTAATAAGATTAACTTTATTAAGAGAAGTAACTCAAACTCTTGTATATTGGTCTATATTTTCATTTTTATTCGATTTGGAATTTATTCTTTAACATGCCCCATGCAAGATAGTAGCTCGTTTGAGTAAATCAATTTTAAAATTCGCGTACTTATTTTTTAGTCTTAATTAGGTTAAATTGATCATTGAAATTTAATGGACTCTAATACTATATTCAAACTTAGTTTTATTTTAAAAGGTCAAACTTATTAAAATAAGTAACTCAAACGCTATATATTGATTTATATTTTAATTTTTATTCGATGTGAAATTTATCCCTTAAAAAACCTACCATGCATGCAATTGGAGGAAGTTTCTCTATATAATAAAAGAACAATTGAGAGCAGAAAAAATTAGCTGCCAAAGTGTGAAGAAATATAGAGAGGAGACGAAAGGAAAGAAGATATGCTGTTTATTTTAGGACTATAATAGGGGAGAAATCTACGCCGCACACCCAAGGCCAATCATGCAAGTCACGAGGTTGGCGTAGTAATTCCCAAGATGAATGCATCTCCTGAATCCTTGAACTACCGTATAAACCCGAAAACCACGATAGAGTTGCATTCAGTGGTTGAATTATATCACCAATAGGGTCCTTCGAAAGGACTATACGATTACATTCTCCTGATTTATCCATGGGCGAAGACATGATTTAGTGTCAATGGGACAAAATTTAACTACATCATTACTTTTTCAAATAAAACAAAAATATACTATTAAATCTCTTACAATTGTTCCTTATTGGTTTCCATACTTTTAATATGTCATATATAATCTTCTTTATTAATTTCCTCGGTACATTTTTTCAATATACACAACGAAATTGTCATTTTCCTACTACTTGATTTTTTTTACAACTTTTTAAATTTGTCGAATTACATGAATGTACTTATCTAAGCTTTAGACTTTATAGTCAATATAAGCCACGAAAATCATGTTGTGCTAATAAAAATTGAGTGGCCAAATCAATGTTTTACATAGTAATTAAAACTCTTATTACATTATTTTCTTCTTTAATTGTGTTTAATTGTATGTCGTACATAAAAATATCATAAACTAAGGTGTGAAAAATAAGAAATTAAATATCTTATTGTAATACTCTAGTTAAATAAAATAAAATTAATATGAGAGATGGAAAGTGAACATGCGCCAAGCAGTAACAACTAAAAAATGGAAAAAAAAGAATAGAGAGGAAGAAGGAGCTGAAAATGGAAAGAGAGAAGGCAACATTATAAACCTGCTCGGCTTTCATTTTAATTGTTGAGTTATGACAAAAGGTAAGAACAAATTAAAGAAATACGAAATTCACAAAACCGTGTCTGCATATGCATGCCTTTTTAATTTCTTTTCTTTTTTCCTGTTGGTGTAATACCCCAAACCAAATTAAACCAATTTTTTTGGTCTAGATCCAGTTAGTGCTGTTGCTTCACTGGATCTCATGTGATTCATACCCTGTTCTCAAGCTCAGACAGTTTAGTTATACCAATTCTATTTCTTGAAAATGGGAGAGTGAAGAATTGATCTACTGGGGCAAAGGGCATAATTTAGATTTGGGGAAAGAATAATTCCGAGAGCACAGAATTCCTCTCACAAAATTCATACAGGAATTTAAAATTTATCTCACATGGAGGTGGCCCCACATGATTAAAATAATGCCAAAAACCTCCCCCCACCCACCTATGATGTGTGTTGTCGGGCAGGTACAAGAATAACTCTTGGAGAAAAGTACTTAAAAAAATTTATGAAATTCTGACACCATGTAGATCCGCCTATGCATCTATCCCAAGAAATATCCCTATATATCACTACTAAATAAAAGAGCCACTTTGAAAATCACTGTTCCCAATTTCGTCCTCCAAAACGACATCGTTTTGGCATTCTCATCCGACGTCGTATGGTTTGTTCTTATCTCGCATCCGTTTGGCTTCAACTTCAGTCATTTTCTTCTCGCCTTTACCCTAGCT